TCGTCCATATCGAATCAAACACCCTGTATATATGTCTATGGAATGGAGAGGATAAGAAGGAGAGTATGGAATAAGGAGAACCAGCTAAGAGTCCTGATTCCTACAAGTAACATTATGATCCTATTTAAGGGAAAAAAGCTACCGGACAGCTTAGGCATTTTTAACAGCATGGCCCGAATCAGGATGAGTCCATACGTGGAGACGGTAAGACAGTGCTACCGGTGCTACAAGTTCGGTCACTTCAAGAGTAACTGCAAGTCAAAGGAGAAATGTATAACTTGCGGTCAAGACGAGCACGGGGAATGCCTATTATTGGAGAAATGCGTAAACTGTGGAGATAACCACAAATCTACGTATAAAGGTTGCTCGGAGTATAAAGGGAATAAAGACCTAATGACAATAAGGGCCTATAACAATTGTTCATATTACGAAGCCGAGAAATTAGTACATGGAAAGGAGAACAAATATACAGCGCACTATGAGGGATACAGAAATATGGAAAGTTGGCCTACGATGCAGGAGACGTATGCGGCAGTGACAAAAGGAGACAGCACAGTAAGAAAACAAGCAGAAGACAGGAAAAAAGCAGAAAGCAGACAGGGAGAGACAGAAAGAAATAGGAGACCAGGAATGATAGTGCTGAAGAGAAGTACGGCGCCAATTACGAAGGGAAGAGAGAGAGAAGAAGTAAGGCATTATTATAAGATGTTTAACACAAGAGCGGAGGAGATCACGAAGGATAAATGGGGAATAATGAACAGAGCAAGAAGAGAGGATACCATGGAAGAAGAAGACGCAAGAGAACGGGCACAAGAAACAAATGGAGATATAACGGAGGGACGAATAGAAAAGGAGAAAACGGATAGAGAAGAAATTATGCACAAAAGAGAAAGAATGGTACAGAGAGCTGACAAAACAAGATGGATGGCAAATAACGTAAGAAGACTGAGATATATGACCGAGTATACACAGAGGGATATTAAAAAAATATACACAGACTTATAAATATTATCAACATAATGATAAATATATGATAGTTACATGGAACGCAAGAGGCATGGGTAATAAGAAGGAAGAAATAGCGAAGAGAGTCAGGGAGTATGATATATTTGCCATTACAGAGAGCAAAGTTACAGTAGACAAAAAGATAGAATACAGCGGATACAATACGGTGAAGGTTAGCAGTAATGGAGCAAGCGGTGGAATACTTATACAGGGTGGTCTAAAAGTCCTGGAACGGTTGAATATCCCGAGAAATTGTGGGTGGATCGGAAAACGGAAAAATACGTATTTCCTACTTTTGAAAGAGCTATCGAATGATACCAAAATTGACCCCCCCCCCACCCCCACCCCTGTGGGTGGGGCGGGGGACAACTTTAAAATGTAAAATGGGAACCCCCACTTTTTATAACAGATTCGCATTCCACGTTAAAAAATACGTAAGCTTTGTCTGAAACATTTTTTTATTTGCCTAATACTTTTTGAGATGTTCAAGAGAAAATTTATAACTTTTTCAATGTTTAGCTTATGATATTTCGATAACTGTTTGTCAGAGGGAAAAGTAGTACAGGACTTTTTTACTTGATTTTGTCTCAGGAATATGCTGTTGCAATAGTGCTCTAATTATTGAAAATTTTTGTGTATTGTACCATCTTTATATACATAAAAGATCTTTACCAAATTTATATACATAAGTATATAGTCACACATACAATTTTCAATTTATCTCTTATTATTTCGGTAGCGAGACCTCGTGGGTGTTAAAACTATGGATTGACGATAATTACAAACTTATCAACACAATGTCGAAACTTAATTTTCTAAAACAATGTAAAACCAACTGTATTTTTCCGAGACATCTTGACAACACCACAAACACAAAATTTCTTTTTCACCACTATAAATCTTGGCGAAAACTTGAGGGTATTATGCACAAATTGAAGAAGAATTTATTGAACCTAGAGATTTTCGACACACATCGAGCTATTGGGTTCTATAGGAATCTCACCCATAAACACTTCAACCATATCCAGAACACCTTACCCCCACATATTCTCATCAGCATTATGAGACATCATTTAATCTCATTTAACAATCATTCGGACAGACTATATCAAAAACATAGAAAAAAGATAAATAGTCTCTTATCAGCGAAAAATTTTCACACTCTTAATAATATAAAACCGATTTTAATTCCCTCTAATTCCTTTGACAGTCAAAAAAACAATAACACTTCAAATAATATCAACATAATCCACCCGACGGAATTCTTGAACTCTTCCTGTGAAATCTTAAAAAACACAAATGAAAAATGGTTCATCAATTTGACAAACATCACCATACCGAACAAAGTTTCAAACCTTTTACAATTAGGCGAAAATTTTAGCTTACCTGACTCCCTTAATAAAAGGAAGGCAATACACGAATATATAAAAGATTTAGAGAGTGGTACACATCACAGCCAACTAAACAAAAAAATATCTCTACGAAACACGGTCTTACCACTTTTCCAAAACTACATTAATGAGAAAAAATTAGATCCCCAAGAGGAAAGATTAAAACACATGGTCGACTCTACTACTACTTTTTGCAAAACCAATCCCGATATTCTTTTCACTAGGGCTGATAAGGGAAATGTCACAGTAGCGATAGAAAAAAACCTTTATGTAAACAAAATGCTTGATATTTTAAATGACAGAGAAACTTATGAAATAGTAAAGAAGGACCCTTCCCAAATTTTAGAAAGAAAATTAAATAATATTTTAAAAAACTGGGCAGAAAGAGAGTACATCTCAGGCCTTCAACATTACCAATTGAAGTCCAGTGATACCTCACTACCAAGAGCTTATGGCCTCCCAAAAATACACAAGGACAATTACCCCCTATGGATTATCATCTCCTCCATAAACTCTCCTCTTCATGATCTTGCCTCTTTTATGAATTCGATCATTTCCAAAAGCCTACCTCCACCCTTCAGTCACATTGACAATAGCTATGATTTGTTCGAGACACTCTCAGAAAAGACCATTGGTGAGTCGGAAATTTTCATCTCTCTTGATGTAACGTCACTTTTTACAAACGTTCCATTAGAATTAGCGCTGGAAAGCCTAACTAAGAGATGGAATCTAATCGAAAAGAACACCAAAATCCCAAAACAAGAGTTTTTATCCACCATAAAATTTATACTGTATTCTACCTACTTCACTTTCAATGGGATAATTTATAAACAAACACACGGCACACCTATGGGATCGCCCATTTCTCCGCTAATCGCAGACTTGGTGATGCAAGACCTAGAGGAAACCGTGCTCAGTGACATCCACACATCGTTCTACACACGTTATGTAGATGATATTTTATTATTGACGCGTTTAGATTCTATTGAAGACATATTGAGAAAGTTTAACTCCTATCATAATAGACTACAGTTTACCCTAGAAATTCAAAAAGATCATGCTATCTCCTTCTTAGACCTAAAAATCAACACCCATGGTAATAGAGTACTTATAGACTGACCATAAAAAAACTTTCTCTGGCAGATACCTTTCTTTCATTTCAAATCATCCCAATGTGCCATAAGATCGGCACAATATATGGACTCGTAGATCGAGCCCTGATGTTATCTCACCCATCCTTTCACGTGAAAAACATTAAAATGTGCATAGATATCTTAATCACCAACGGATACCCCTTACAATTAATTTTCAATGAGATAAATAGGAGAATTAAGGTCATAAAAAATAAACTTAAGAACAAAGAGACCCAAGAAAAAGAAAAGAAAAAATACCTTGCATTTCCATACATAAAAACATTGAAAAGTACAGTTGGTTCGTTCATAAAGAAATCCACTTACTCCTTTGGATACAGAATTCTTAATAAATTATCTCGATTTATTAAACCACAAAAAGATAACACAGAACCCATGCAAAAAAACAACGTAGTCTATAAGATAAGTTGCAAAGATTGCGATGCATCGTACGTAGGCCAAACTAAGAGGAAGTTAAAAACGAGACTAAAAGAGCACACGAACAATCAAAAACTAGATCCCTCCAAACACTCAGTTATTACTCAACATATATTGGAGCAGAACCATAATTTTGACTGGGACAATACAAAAATCTTAGACACTGAACCGTACCTACAGAAAAGACTTATTAGTGAAATGATCCATATAAAAAAACAAAAAAACGGCATTAATTCTCAAAAAGACACAGAGC